TAGTAGTAGTAGTAGTAGTAGTCGTAGTCGTAGTAGTAGTAGTAGTAGTAGTAGTAGTAGTAGTCGTAGTAGTAGTCGTAGTCGTAGTCGTAGTCGTAGTCGTAGCTGTAGTCGTAGTAGTAGTAGTAGTAGTAGTAGTAGTCGTAGTAGTAGTAGTAGTAGTAGTAGCAGCAGCAGTAGTAGTCGTAGTAGTGGTAGTGGTAATCGTAGCAGTAGTAGCAGTAGTAGTAGTAGTAGTAGTAGTAGTAGTAGTAGTAGTCGTAGTCGTAGTAGTAGTAGTAGTAGTAGTAGTAGTAGTAGTAGTAGTAGTAGTAGTAGTAGTAGTAGTAGTAGTAGTAGTAGTAGTAGTAGTAGTAGTAGTAGTAGTAGTAGTAGTAGTAGTAGTAGTAGTAGTAGTAGTAGTAGTAGTAGTAGTAGTAGTAGTCGTAGTCGTAGTGGTCGTGGTCGTAGTCGTAGTAGTCGTAGTCGTCGTCGTCGTCGTAGTCGTGTCGTAGTAGTAGTCGTAGTAAGTAGTAGTAGTAGTGTAGTAGTAGTAGTAGTAGTAGTAGTAGTAGTAGTAGTAGTATAGTAGTAGTAGTAGTAGTAGTAGTAGTAGTAGTAGTAGTAGTAGTAGTAGTAGTAGTAGTAGTAGTAGTAGTAGTAGTAGTAGTAGTAGTAGTAGTAGTAGTAGTAGTGTAGTAGTAGTAGTAGTAGTAGTAGTAGTAGTAGTAGTAGTAGTAGTAGTAGTAGTAGGAGTAGCAGTAGTAGTAGTAGTAGTAGTAGTAGTAGTAGTAGTAGTAGTAGTAGTAGTAGTAGTAGTAGTAGTAGTAGTAGTAAACATAGTAGCACTAGCACCGCACTTCTATACCATGGCTTCTCCTGTCTGTAGGTTAGCCCTGGCCGCCTGGCACTTTTCTAAAGCCTTCCCTGACGCAGCTGGCGCAACTCGTGACGTTACGGCGGGGGGGCGCCGCCGGTGACGGGCGTTATCGCTAACGTGACGCCCTTGCCAGCAGTCCCGACGGGCCCCGACGGGCCCCGACGGTCCCCGACGGCCCACGACGATCCCCAACCGTCCCCGACGGCGTCGGAGCGCGGAGCGCCGCGGCGGGCGCCCGCACAAGGGGGCGCGGTGGCGAGGGGGCGGGCTTCCAAATAGGGGCTCCGTGTTTGGACGCTCTCGGTGCTTTCGGGGCATGGGGAGGCCTCCGGAATGTTCCGAGTCGAGGGGCGAGGTGGGTGAGGGAGGAGGAGGAGGGAGGAGGAGGAGGAGGAGGAGGAGGAGGAGGAGGAGGAGGAGGAGGAGGAGGAGGAGGAGGAGGAGGAGGAGGAGGAGGAGGAGGAGGAGGAGGAGGAGGAGGAGGAGGAGGAGGAGGAGGAGGAGGAGGAGGAGGAGGAGGAGGAGGAGGAGGAGGAGGAGGACCAGGACCAGGATCAGGAGCAGGAGCAGGAGCAGGAGCAGGAGCAGGAGTAGCAGCAGGAGCAGCAGGAGCAGGAGGCGGAGGAGGAGGAGGAGGAGGAGGAGGAGGAGGAGGAGGAGGAGGAGGAGGAGGAAAACGAGGATTAGGAGGAGGATGAGATGGAGCAGGAAGTGGGAGCAACCAAGCAGGCGGGCCCCGCAAGGGGCGACGAGAGAAGGGCCACCCGCGACCTTCGGCGCCGACGAGTAGCGAGGTTGCGGGGAGTTTTAGGCTGAGCCTGTGCAGGCTTCCTGAGCATTTCGGGAAACTATCACGTGTGTGCTATTGTCTATGATGCTAGCCAGCGTGGTCCCCGAAGGGGAAGGTATTGCACTGTGTGGAGGCGGAAGCTGCTTCGCGGAGTAAGCGGTGTGCTGTAGGGTGAGTGGTGTGTCCTATGTGATGCGAGGTAGGGTGCGTAAGCTGTCGGGTGTGGCCCGTGTGGTGCGAGGTGCGCGGCGTACGCTGCGCGGTGCGAGACATGCTCCGCAAGGCACCCACGGGGCGCCCACGGGCGGGCACCGGGCGAAGCCTCGGCCCCGCCACTGCGCGCGGACCGCCCTCGAGCGGGCACCCAGCGGGCACCGGCCGACACCTCGGGGTGCTCCGCCAAGTCCTGCAGCATGCGAATCCGTAGCCATCTTGGCTCAGGGAGGCGCGGCCCCTGCTGCTCCACCCCTGCTGCAGTGGGCCGCGCGAGGCTCGCAGCCTCCGCCCTCGCCTTCGCCAGCCACGGCTCCGTCGCCGACAGCCAAGGCACGAGCCTCGAGGAGCGCCGCCTGGATGACACCACCACGGAGGCCGTGACGCGGAAGGTGTGGGAGGGCACTGCCGCGGACACTGTGGGAAGTGAGGACGCAATCACAGAAGCCGTGGAGCATGAGAACGCTATCGCGGACGTTGCGGAGTGCGTGGCGCCCTGTCTGGAGGCTTTGGGGACGGCTGGGCTTTGGACTGGGGCACGCTTGCGGACTAGACATGACGCCTCAACGGCATGCTGCGACTGTGGATTGCCAACGCCAGCTCTACCGCCAGCGCCGGTCACGACGCCAGCGCCAGAAGCAGCCAGCGCACCACCGACGCCAGCGCCGCCGCCAGCGCCGCCAGCAGCGCCGCCGGCAGCGCCGGTCACGACGCGGGCGCCAGAAACATCCAGCGACCGCCGACGCCAGCGCCGGTCACGACGCCGGCGCCAGAAACAACGAGCGCACTGCCAACGCCAGCTCCGCCGCCAGCGCCAGCGCCGACGCCGGCGCCAGAAACAACCATCGCACCGCCGACGCCAGCGCCACCGCCAGCGCCGGTCACGACGCTGGCGCCAGAAGCAACCAGTGCACCGCCGACGCTAGTGACGCCAGCGCCAGAAACAACCAGCGCACCGCCGACGCTAGCGCCGCCGCCAGCGCTGACGCTAGCGCCGGTCACGACGCCTGCAACCAGCGCACCGCCGACGCCAGCGGCGCCGCCAGGCCTCTCGTCTAGGCCTCCTAGGTGGAGTCGGAGCAGATTGGGTCGGAGGATCGCGCCGTATCGCCGATGCATCTGCGATGCATCGGCGATGCGGCTCCATGTTCGGGCGAAGAGAACTATGCACATGCACCGATCCTGACAACGTCCATCCTTGACCCAGGATCGGTGCATATACCTTCCTGGCCAAGGTAAGAGGGCGTATGCACCGATCCTGGGCTCAGGATGGGCCTGGCCAGAATCGGTGTATGTGCATAGTTCTTTTCGCTCTACATGTGGGGCCCGACTTTCTCCACGCCGACGTCGCCGATGCACCGCCGACGTCGCCGATGCCTTGCCGATGCACCGCCGATGCGGCGCCATCCTCCGACCCCCTCTGCTCGGACCCCATCCAGGAGGCCCCTGTCCTCTGCCCCTCGTGTCTGAAGGGGCCCCAGGGACACACAAATAAATACACACAAATCAGGACATTCCCCATATTTCCCCATATTGTCTGGGTTTCTGTCTTCCCCCCCACTTCCCATATTTTCCCACATTTTCCGGGAAATCGACGATTCGTTGTGTCTGTGTGTTTCCTTTCCTCCTGAAGGGCCGGTGGGGACCTTCGAGGCGAGTGGGCGTGGGTCCCTTCGTGCCCCCCTGAAGCCTCCCCGGTGCCCGTCGGCGCTGCGCCTCGGCACAGGCGTCGGGCGGCCGACCTCGCCCCGCCAGCTGCAGGGTGCGTCGGTGGAGGCCGAGGGATCGAAGCAAAAGCGCGGCTGCCGTCGGGGCGCGGAAGGAAAGGAGCCCTCTTCGCTCGAGAGGGGCTCAAAGGGGCCTCGCTTTATATGTAATGTTCCAACCTGCTTTGGCCTGCATCACCAGAAATGATTTCGAGCACCAGGAAAGTGCCGACCCTCGAGGGTTGCACGTGTCGGGCCCTGGGAGGCACTCGTTCGACGCTATTTTTCGACTCTGTTTCGACACTTTTCCGGGTGCTCGAAGTTATTTTTGGGATGCGGTCCTCAAGTACGATGGGGGGCAACACAAGCCTCGCTCCCTGTTTGTTTGGGGCTCCTTGGGTCAACGCGCCGGCTGCAGGGATTCAGCTCTTCAGCCCGAGAGCGCTCTCCCGCGGCTTCCTCTGAGGGCCGCTGGGCGGGGGCCCTTTGGGGGAGCCCGAGGGGCCGACGAGGGGCGCGCATCGCTGGAGGTTCCCCGGTTGAGGGCTCGTCGACTCTTTCGTCAATCGACTTGTGGGGATCGGGCCAGACAAGTCCAGGTAAGTGCAGACAACTCGGGGCAACTTCGGGCCAATCCAGGCACACGGGGACAAACATCCGGGCACATCCAGCGATCTTCTCGGGGAACGTTGGAGCAACTCGCCGCCGCTCCAGCGCGGGTCGGGGGGCGGCAGAAGTCGTTCAGCCTTCAACGAGAGGTTGGGCCCACCACTCTCAGGAGGGGACAAAAACACAGACACAATGAATCGTCGGTTCCCCAGAACATATAGGAAAATATGGGAAATGGGGGGACGAAAACCCAAGACATTTGAGAAACCATGGGGATCCTTTTATTTTTGTGCATTTATTTGTGTGTCCCAGGGCCCCTTGTGCTGGGTCCTCGTTCCAGAGTGCGCAGCGCCCCTCGTCCTTCCTCCCCTCCTCCCCCCACCTGCCTCCTCCCTGCCCTGCCTCTGCCTTCTGCAAGCCCATCTTGGTACGCCCCTCACAGGCTTCCTGGCCCCATAGGGGGGCTCCAATTGCTGCCCCATGGCAAAGTCCGCATGTCGGCCGTCCTCACTTCGGCACACCACAGACACGCTTCGTGCTTCATATTTCATGAAGCGCTTGAGCAATGGTTCTGTCGCTCATGTGTTTTTCGATCAGGCCCAGCTCAGGGGCCTATGAGAGCCTTGTGTGGAACCCACGTCTAGGACACGTCCCGAGTGCTTGGATTTTTTTTTCTCGCGATTCGTTTTTTCCAAGTTGTCCGAGCTCACAGCCTGCTTGTCACTCTGGTGATTGCGGTCATCCTGGTAATCCTTCTCCCCATGCCTGGTCCAGTGCCTTCTTCTCGCCGTGGTGCCCACTAACCCAGCCCTTGCGTCTGTAGGCGCGGCAGACCGACTTCTCCACGCACTCCGCCTTTGTCTTCGGCGAGGCCAGCCTGGGCAGGCTTGACTCCCCGCACCAGGTGGGCCCGCCTCGGCTCGGTTTCCACCAGCTCTGGGACTCCGCCGCCTGCCCTTGGCCCTCCCTCTGCCCCATCGCCCCTCGTTGCCCCCCCCGCCCCCCCGCAGAGGAGGAGAAGGAGGAGGTACAGACACCGATGCCGTGGCCCGTCCCTCGTCGCCACGGCTGGGTTCGCTTCGAACTCCAGGTCAGGACGCACCCCGGGAGAGGTCAGGGGAGCTTAGTCTCACGAGGCTTCCGTTTCCCCCTCTTCTCCTTTCTCCTCCGCCTTTTGCCCCTTCCCGCCATCCTCCCCGTCTCTTCTTTCTTCTTCTTCTTCTTCTTCTTCTTCTTCTTCTTCTTCTTCCCTCTTGCCCTCTCGAGCGTGGTCCCTGGTCCGTAGTCTGATTTCCCCGTGTGGAGCCCTGGCAGAGTTCTGAGTTTCAATCTCTTGATGCTGCTGGTTGTCGAGAGCCCCTGCAGTTGCGAGGTCTTTCCATCTCGAACTTTTTGGCGGGCGATTGCTGATCTCTGTTGCAGGGGTGGTCAGCTTCCTCACCCGCACATTCACGGCTGATGTGTAACACTTTGTCCCTTCATTTCCTTCTCCTCTGCCTTCTTATCCCTCTTGTCCTCGCCCCTTTTCTCGTCCCCTTCCTCCTCCTTTCCTCGTCGCCCCCTCCGCATTCGGAACGGTCAGGGAGGGTGTAGCAGCAGCCTCTCTTGGTGCCATCTTTGGCTCGAGGAGCTCCTTACCGCGCCCGCTTTACACACAGACGTCGCTATACATTATTTCACCGTTTACGAAAAGCTTCGCTTATCCATCTCTCGCCGTAAGTTTTAGCTTTTAGCTGGTCGCGGAGCAGCCGGCTCCACCACCACGTCCGCCGCCATGGAACGCGTGGCATTGCCGCGCCCAGGCGGCTACCACTACAGCGTCGACGACGACATCCGGCTCTACATCCCGCTCCACATGCCACGTGCATGCTGCGCTGTTTGTCCACCTCGCCGCGGCAGGCGGCGCGCCTCGATGGGCCCTCTGGGCCACCTTGGCCCAGCCGCCAGGGCCTGCGCCGGCGACCCAGCACGAGTACCTCCACGAGTACATCAACTACAAAGACGGCGCCCTCCCCGCCCCGGCCTTCCCGTTCGGGCACTTTCGGACTGTGTTCGAGATGCTCGGGGGCCCTTCGTCGTCACAGCACTCGCTTGTGAGTGCCGCCGTCAGCGGCGGATTATCGAACGATCCGAATTCCACGTTTGCACGGTGTCGGCACAGGGCCCAGAACTATGCGCAAAAGTGTTGCGGAAACCCGAGGGGGAAGAGGACAACAACACATCGCCCTCATTGCAGCCGCATGTGGGTGTATCCGGCTATGCCAAGCAGGCAGTCTCTCGAGCCGACGCTCACTTCGTCGGCGTCGGCAGGGCGCCCCGGGTCAGCCGCAACTCTGTCGTGGACGCCCGGTGGGGAGGGGTGGGGCGCACGCAGACAAGAGCTGGAATGCAAAGAAGGGTCGGGCAACTGCCTTACCATCCTTCCGTGGAACCGTCACACGAGCTTTGGGGAAGTCGCTATCGGTCTATTGGGACATGACTCTCAACGTTACTTGTGCTCGTCCTGCTTCTTTGCCATGCCAGGATCCCCGTACTCCTTTTGACTTCCGTGCAGTTGGCAGTGCCCAGTGCAGTGACAACGCGGCGCTCGACGAGTTATCTCGCCAATGTGGCGCGGTGTGATCCGAGTGCAACCCGCGCGCCAGTGATAGAAGGGAATACTTACTCCGGTGATATCGAGGAGCACCCCAGGGAAATATACCCACGAGGGATTGAATGATCGCTGCCAGAACGCCGCCCAGGACTGTCGCGCCCCCTCGGCACCTGGCGGCGCCCCCCTCTGGATGGAAGGCCATCGGGGCGGGCGCGGTCGCCGCCGTGAGCTGCGTCGCCTGCGTGGGCGCAGGTGGCGGCGGCAACGGCAACGTGAGACGCCTCCGCACCTGGGGGCCCGAGCAGCAGGCTTGCGTGCACTTCCAGCGCTGGGTGCGGGAGGTGATGATGTGGTCAGTGGCGTTCTCCGATCTCGGCGAGATTCGCTAAGCGGCCTACGCCTCGTCTCGCTTGACAGGCATGGCTCGCGAGTGCGCGGGCGAGTGGCCGCCGGCTGTCTTCGTCCAGCGTGGTCGTCCAACCTCGACGCAGCGCCGCCAGTGACCTACCTCGCGCACAGGCCGGCCCAACGGTGGGCCCATCTTGGAGAGGGGGGCGCGCGCAGGCTGCGTCGGCCCTCGTGAACTTCATCCGCCTGCCTCAGAAGCGCATCGACCATCTTCTCACCGGGCTTGACATTCTCCGCAACGGGCTCAGCAGACGAGGGCTTCAGCCACCTCTTGCTGCGCGCGGTGGGCGCGTCGAGCACCCAGCTCGTGATGGCCCTGCAGCACTTCTTGCGTGGCCTGCCCAGCGGGTTCGCCGCAGCTGGCGCGCATGATGGGCCAGCTGCGCAGACTTGGTCATGTGATTGAGTGCTCGCGGGGCAATCTCGCCTCGGCCGCGCGTTCGCCCCAACGCCAAGCGTTCCGAAAAGGGTGCGCTCGTGCGCGGTCAGGCGAAGGGTGCCAATGGCGCTGAAGCTGGATCGAGCTGGGATGGCGCGTGCCCCTCCGCCTTCTGGGCGGTGCCGAGTCCGCCTGCAGCGCCGACGACCGCAAACGCGGGCTCTGCAACGCCGCAGGCGGCATATCCGGCGGCAGGTTTTGACTCCGGCGCCGACTTCGACAGCGTCAGCTCACGCGGCGAAGACGTCGCCGCCGACGACCCCGGGCTGCGCGAAGTTCTCGTGGAACAGCGCGGCGCGCACTTCGTTTGGGCCCCCGTGCGCGCCAAGTCCCGACGGCGCTGCTTCGGCGACAGCGAGCCTACGCGTCGCGCGCGGAGGGGCACAAAACGCGCGGGCAAAGGCAAGCATCGGGCCGGTGGACAGCCTCAGCAGCGCCCCACCACTGAGACCAGCATTCTCACCAATGCGGCACCTGAGACACCGCGGAGCGCCGGGGCCAGCCGCTCAACAACCAGCACGAGGCGCCCGCTCGGTCTGGATGACCAGGGGCACCGACGTGACGCCCGAACCTTCCTATGGTTCTGGGATCCGACTGCGGCGAGCGCCGTTCCCTGGTGCGTCGGCCAGCCCGCTCCGGCTCCGGCAACAGAGCGGCGAGCGCCAGCAGCAGCAGCTCCCAGTGATTCGTCCGACGGTTCCTGGCAGGCAGTTGGTCACAGCCATTGGCCATTGCTTTAGTTGGGTGGGCATTTCGTGGTCTTCATCGGCTTCGCCCAACCCTCGTGGGACCGAACTTCGGCGACTGCTCCTGGAGATGGGCGACCTCGTGGGCCGCGCGCGACAGGTCTCTGCCCAACCAGCGGATAGGGCAACTATGTTGCCACTCCGCGCGGCAGGAGCGGGGGGAACAGCATCTGCTGCGCCCGTGGCTCCAGCAGCGTCCGCAGCGCTTCCATCGCCGACGCCGCGTCGCTGGGCCGAAGTGGCCGGCGCTTTCCCGTTGCGGGCACAGGGCGCGACTGGGCGAGCGACCTCAGTGCCCGAGCCGCTCTGCCAGCGGCCCCGCCCGTCGATGTGGAGTCGCCGACCTAGGCATACATGTCGTCAGTTTCAGCGCGCGGCATCAGCGCGCCATGCGGGTCAAGCCCCACGCGGCAATTGCAGTCCGCGCAGGTAGTCGCATCACCACCGGCGCGGGGCCCCCCCGCCGATCTAGCTCTCTTCAATCAGTGCGCCCGAGTTTTCGTGAGCCAGCCATCTGGGAGAGTGGCCATGTGGTTCGCCGCCCGTGACGCCTGGATGTCCAGCGGCGTGCGGTCCGAACGCGGAGGAGGCCGCGCGCTCCACCGCGCGCAACGACGACACCTCCACGAGCTCCGCAGCACTCAGCTTGGACTCGGGCTCTTGCGACAGCGGGACGGGCAGCGACGGCGAGCCGCGCAGAGATGGGCCGAAACCCATGCAATACCACCTCCTGTGCTGGCCGCCGCGGCAGCTGCTTCCGGCGTCGCGGTCTTCGACGGAGGCGACGGGGGATGTCCCATCTGTGTCGAGGCATTCGCGCATGGTGAATCGAGTTGTACGCCTGCAGTGCCGCCGTATCTTGCGCCGGGCATGCCGCCTGCAGCTCGCGCAGATCACCGACGCCCGCCTTGCGCGCTGCCCAGCGCGCCGCGGCCCGGCCGACGTCTGCCGATTCCCCTTTCCATGTTGCAGATCGGGCTGCAGCTGGCCCAGTATTTGCGTTGCCGATGCGGCGCCCGCACGGACGCGCGTGCTCCGCCGCGTGGACCGACGTTCCCGCGGTGGCCGACCGCGTCAGGTACAGGCACGAGTCCACCGAACGATTCGCTCTGCTACCTGGCGAGCACTAACATTCCAGGCGGCTGGCTTGGCGTCGCCGTGGATGCCAGCGCCTGAACCATCCTCTGGGGGCAACCTTTGCCGGTGAACGTGGCCAGCAAAGCCGTGGGGGCAGGGTTCAGCCTGCGGAGAGGTGGCTGACGTCTTTATTCTACGTTGCAGGGGTGGGCAACGGCCCGCAGGTTGCCCGTCGGCAGGCACGCCGCCCGATCGCGGTCGTCACGAGCGACGCCGGCACCACCCAGCGCAGCGTGCGCGCTCCTGCAGTGGAGGGCGACGGCTTCGATCTTCCTGTCGCGCTTGTTTTGCAATCCATGCAGTCCAACGACGGGGTTGTGGAGACAGGCGCAGCGCATCGACGCCTCGCGCTTCCCGGTCCTCGGCTGCGAACATGCATTGGCGCCCGGGCACCGTGCGCTTCGACCCGCCCCACGTGTCCACTCATGCGTGCCAGTCGACAAGTTTGACCAAGTCCAACCACCCACCGGGGGACTGCCACCTATACAGTTGACACTAGCAGTGGGCAGCGACAACCAGGACTGCGACTCCAGCGACAGTCGAGAGTTTAAGAAGCTCGAGATGCAGCTTCTTACATAGCC